TATATATACAGTATACACATACAGTGCAATGTATAATTTCAGTAACATTTATTTAAAATACAATGTACCTACGTACACTTTCAATTATTTTTTTCCATAGTTATTTTTAAATCATTCAAGACCAAATAATATTTTACATCAATTCAAATATACCCCAAAACATCATCGTATTGAATTCATATTGAATTTTTGTATTAAAAAAATTTACACCAAAATAATTTAGGGGGGCTTTAAATGTTTTTAGGGGGGCTCCAGCCCACCTAAAATAGGCCTAGTGACGCCATTGCAGGAGACAACATAAAAAAGTATCTCTTCCAGTAAAACTCCTGCATCGCCTGACAAAACACTGTAACAACGGCAACAGGATGCTCTTTGAGTTTGGAATCTGAATGGTCGAGTTATAATGAAAGCGTTTCTCCGTCAGACCACGTTTCCAGTTCGAGTCTTCAAGCTGATGGGAGTGGAGACTTTGATTGTGACGAATGCTGCCGGCTCATTGGCTGACGGCCTCCAGCCTGGTGACATCATGATCATTAAAGACCACATCAACTTCCCCGGGCTGGCTGGACTGAACCCTCTATGTGGACCCAATGATGAAAAGTAACTCTCTAAACTTTGTTAATTAGTGTCTATTTTTGGTGCCATTTGAAGTTGTCTTGATGAAAAATTGTTTTGATTCATCTATTGATGAAGTTGTTTATTATTGCTTTTTATTACAGGTTTGGGCCACGCTTCCCTGCCATGTCTGGTTGCTATGACAAAGGGTTGCGTTGCCTTGCAATGGAGATTGCCAAGCAGATGGGCGTTGCTGGGCTTATGCAGGAGGGTGTGTATGCAATGGTAGGAGGACCTAACTTTGAAACCATCGCAGAGGCCAAACTGATGCATCGACTGGGGGTGGATGCAGTCGGTATGACTCACATACACACCAGATTTGCAGTTTTAGTCTAAAAGGTTTCAGGGTTTCGTTTCCCAGGTGTTCGGTATTTCTTTGTGTCATTTTTGTTGCACTTTATTTTGAAAATATCTAATTCAAACTAACTGATAAATGGCTTTTTAGTTTAATGTATCAGCATTATGCATTACAATTTCTATTTGATGGTTGTTTTTTGTTGGTTTGTTTTGATCCAGAATTTAACTAGAATATGCTAGAACAAATTAGCTTTTGGCTAAACAGTCCATGTACAACAGCTGCGTTGTTCTGCTCTGTTTTACAGGTATGAGTACGGCTCCTGAAGTCATTGTGGCAACTCACTGTGGTCTGAGAGTATTTGGTCTCTCTCTGATCACAAATAAGGCAAGGCACTGATCAATATTCATATTTTACTAATCGATGATGGCACTCATTCTGATCAGTAAATCAATAACATTTTCAGATGAAGTGAGTTTTTTTGTATGTATGTATGTATGTATTAGGGGTGTAAGAAAATATCGATACACTGAAATATCGCGATATTTCATTTCCCGATACTGTATCGATATTCTAAAGCCCTGTATCGATTTTTTATTAAGGTTTAAAATGTCAGCTTTCCTGCCAGCCGTTCATTTTTATGTTGTAGTTCAGCCTCTGATCACTAGTTTGCAGCAGTGAGCCAGTCGGCTCACTGCTGCAAACTGCTGCCTACTAGTGGTCAGAGGCTGAACTACAACATAAAAATGAACAGCTAGTTGGCAGCAGTGAGCCAGCCATTTGGCTACTCTACCTCTTGAGGTAGAGGCTATTATTAAGTGTTGGGTGACCATATTGTAAATTAATATAAAAACTAAAAGCTGCAAAAATATATATTTTCAACCTATGTATTGGCAAATTTAGTCTGATAATTGAAAACATGGATGAAATAAGAAATATGAAACAAGTAAAATAAAATACATACAAAGTAGAACACAGCTAAATGTATCAAAAGTATGTCTATGTAATATTAGAATTTTCTGAGACAATGAATTTTGGTTTTTCATTTTTTTCCCCAGTAAGAGGTTTTTATTTAACAGAGTTTTTTGACCAAAAAAATCGCAATATATCGCCTTGCTTACAGTATCGCAATATATCGGGATATATCGTATCGTGACCCCTTTGTCATGATATGTATCGTATCGCCAAATTCTTGCCAATACACAGCCCTAGTATGTATGTATGTATGTCGGTTGGTTGGTTGGTTGGTTGGTTGGTTGGTTGGTTGGTTGGTTGGTTGGTTGGTTGGATGTTGGTTGGTTGGTTGGTTGGTGGGTTGGTTGGATGTTGGTTGGTTGGTTGATTGGTTGGTTGGTTGGTTGGGTGGGTGGTCAGTAAAATTGTTGGTTAGTTGGATGGTTGACTGGTTGGTTGGTTGGTTGGTTGGATGTTGGTTGGTTGGCTAGTTGTTGGTTGGTTGGATGTTGGTTGGTTCTATGGTTGATTAATTGATTGATTGACTGATTTGCCACAGGTGGTAAAGAGTTACGAGGACTCTGACAGTGTAAACCACGATGGTGTCCTGGAGATTGGGCGTTTGCGTTCTCAAACTGTGCAGCAGCTGGTGACTGAACTGATCAACAGGATGGAGATCAATAACAATGAAAACACAAAAAATACTTTCTGAAAACATACACATACACATACAGTACACACACACATTCACGCACATATGATATACCAAGTTGACAGTTTTTTCCTCACATTTTGCTTTATATTGTTTTTTTCTGTAATAGAAAGTTTATTTATATCAATACGGTGCTTAAAAATTGTCCATCAGGGTAAATCAGAATGTATTTGTTTCTAATTTGTTTCTAACCGGAATTTCATCATCTGTAATGTAATTGTCAAGTATTTCTGTTTTTCTATTTGTGTTTGATTGTTGTACAGCACCTTCTGCCTATCAACTCTTCCTATATTATTGATTATTGTACAGCACCTTGTGAATTTCATTTCTGTGAAAGGCGCTTCATAAATAAAATTGTACTTACTTACTTTTTTACTTACTTCTAATATAAATCCTAATTTTTATATAACAATAACAGTTTTTTTGTGTTTGTTTTTTTTTTTTTTTTTTTTTTTTTTTTTTTTTTTGATGATGATGCTTCAATACAAAAATGTTGGGCAAATGTGTACATTGATCTTGTGGAACAATTGATTTATATTTTGTAAAAATATTTCACTAATTCACTGATCTGATGAAAATATTATGCAAACAATCTGCTTCCTGTTCTGTTTAACTTAGAACGACTCGCTTTTATTTTTTATCTTTTCTCCTAAACTGGTGATTTGAGCAGAGGAAGAAGAGGATTTATGAGAACAGAGAAAAGGCAAACGTTAATAAAAAGAGTAAAACAGTTCAGCTATGACTCAGCTTGTTTTTGTTACGCTCATTATCTCAATTGTTTTTTACAATCTTTACATTTAAATTAAATACAGTATGATATCTATTGAGTTATTGGTCTTAAATTCAATTTAAAAAGTTATTTTTTCAAAAAAAACTTTATTTAATTCAAAACAAACGTTACAGACTAGCAACGGCAAAATAAGAAAGGTTCTGTCAGAATGTTTTCTGTCAAATTGTTTCAGTTGTTGAAATGTAAATTGTTATCAGATAAACCTAAATCAGAGACTGTAAGAGAAGGAGGTAAGTTCATTTACTTTATGATTAAAACTGACCGTTAAACACAATTATTCAGAGTTTGTTTTGCAACGTTTTGCTAAACTGGGCTTCAAGTTCAAGTTATTGCTGGTATCCTTTTCATGCCTCATTCTGAACATCTATGTTTTGATTTGGCAACACTTAACTTTTTAAACGAGTAAATCTAATTAATCTCTGATGTGGTCAACATTTAAGGAATAAAGCACAGATTTTTAGTTCAACAATGTTCTGTATGATATCTGCTGTTGTCTCCACTGAGACATGAGAACAAAACTCTTCGAACTTCTTCTGTTTCTTGCTTCAGTGTTGAGCGTAACGATGGAGCTGCAGATGTCCATTGACCTCTTCTTTATAGCGATTCTGATTCTGATTGTGATCCTGTTGGTCCTTCTGATTCTCTGTTGGACTTTCAAACAGTCCAAGAACAGGTAAGTTTTATTGAACATTGTTGTCTTTTTTATTTGATTTGATCTGGTTTGTAAAGATGTTTTAGTGATCAGACACTAATCTATAAATCTGTATGTAAAAAGTGAAGGTTTGATTTGAAAGAACCTGGTAACTCTGAGCCCTTTGAAGCGAAGGTATCAACTGACTGCTCCAGCTGTAGTTTTGGACACTTTTTGAAACATTTCTGTGGGCTCTGGTTTCTGTAGAGATCGCACTGTGCTGACGATTTCTGCAAGAGAACCTCCACTGAAACTGGTCATCAGARCGAAGCCAGACCATGCCCAGCAGCTGATGGATCATCTTCTGACCAGAGTCTTCCTTGGGCTGGAGCCGGAGGGAGAACCTGCAGAAGAACAGGGAGAGGAAACAGAACCAGGCCCGACAACTTCCTCAGCTTCTAATCATCCTGATAAGAGTTAGTGACTTTATGAGAATATTACTGATTCAACACATTACTGGAAGTTAAAGTCCTAAAATCTTGTTTTTATATTTCCTGACCCATTTATTCATGTCTTTATAAGTGCTGATGCAGCGCCACCTGCTGGAATCAGATGATACTACAGCTGTAAACTCTAATGAAGCCTCATATCCTTATAAATTTGTGTCTCCTCTGCAGCTCTGAAAACTTTTTACAAGAAAGTGACGCAGTGGATTAAAGCTGCAGCTCCCAAGCAAAAGACAAAAATCAACTTCAAGGGTCTGTGTTCAAAACTTTTAGACTTATGTAAATCTGTGTTCAGGTTTTTTGATGAAAACTTGTGATTCGGATCTCAAAAATGAATTAATTTTATTCTGGTTTTCTTCCTTCCAGTTGAAAGTCCTCCTCCTCCTCCCGCTGATGAGGATGAAGCCGACCAGCTCCCTCCTCAGCGGTCTGATGAATCCCAGCATGCATCTTCCTCCTGTCAGGGAGCATCCAGCAGTCAGTGCTGTGAGGAGGACAAGCAACATGATGAAACACGTCCTTAAACAAAGAAAATAAAAGAATCATCTAATCTGTGAGCACAAAGAACAGTTCTTTAAATATGAATAACACTCCTGCTCTAAAGACTGACTGAATCTCCAAATGAAATTGTTTGTGACAAAGCAACCAAGTCTATAAAACCTCAGGGGTTTAATGCAGCAAAATAAAGCAAAAATTGTGTTTCTTTCATTTAGGTAAAAAAAATGAATAAAAACACATTGCAAACATATTCCTTATAACAGTCTCAGGAATGCATAAAAAGATGTAAAACTTGAGGAAAAACTGTTGTTTTACAGTTTTAACTTATTGTGAAATCATGATGTTCCTTATTAACTGTACAGTTTTTAAATTACAACAATAATCCAGAGCTCCAATTTAAAACTTTTTCCAAACTAAAAGCCAACTGAAGCAAAACAAACAAAAATTACAAAAAAAAAAGTAGTTTGAGTACCCTTTTGACTTTCTTTTCATTTATGGCAGCAGATTGTTAAAAACAACATTTTCTAATTACCACCAGGGGGCAGTAGTGGACAGAATTTGTATCTGTATTTAACATCTTTCGTGTAGGCAGAGGCAGATGCTCAAACAGATGTGATATTAAATAATCTGAAATAAAAACACATCTATTCATTTCCTTTACCTCCATTTCCATTCAGAGTCACAGGGAGCCGTCAGTGTTTGGACAGGCAGGAATAGATTAAATATCAACAGAAATAACTTTAAAAAAAACTCCAAACTCTAAAATATAGCTTATATATTGATCAATAAGTGATAAGTGTGACCGATTAGTCTGCAGAACTGAAAGAAAAGTTAATCTCTAAGGGTTTCCTCTGACTCTTTATTATTAATTATTAATGCAATGTAATAACTGAAAGTACAAGAAGTTTGTCAGCTAAAGAAGCTACTGAATTGTTCAGATTAGGTTGTGATGACTCTGGTAGAAGACTTTAAGTCCATTCATTTGGGCCTTTGATATGGATGGTACCTTTTTTCCCTGGACACTTTTCAAAATGAGCCATCAAAACCTTTGGTTTTAAATGAACTGCAGTCTTCAAACAACTGTTTCTTTTTAAGAGTTGCCTTRTAAACAAGTTATATGTAAACAAGTTGTTTTTTTATGAACAAACAGACTTCTTCACTGTTCAAAACACTGTAGTTCAAACTGCAAACGGAAAGTCCTCGTCTCACACTTAAACCTCTGAACTCTGCGGGGGTGGACCATATCTAAACATCTGTGATGTGTTGAAATTCACTCAGGACACTCATGCTGACACAGGAAGTGATGTGTGCCCTCTGAAATCTAATTTTCCATAACAGCGCATGTGTAACATAAGGAAACCCATTTGTGCCTAAATAAAAAAACTATATAAAATGATGATGAAAAGGTAAAAACTGTAATTTGTAATAAAAAGCAGTGATGACATAAAAGATTGTTCACAATCTTGATTATTCAGTTTTGGTCAAAGTTTCTTTTTGGCACAAAAGGCAGATAATTATTGTCTAATTATTGTACTTAATGAACATGAATATTTTTCCGTAATTAAATAGGCAGCAGCAAACATCACATGTAAAAACACAAACRACAACAAAGCAGCAGCATGTTTGCACTGATGGATGTTCAGTTGGAGCTGATGATGAAGGAGTTGCAGGAGGAAGATTTGCAGTTAGTAAATTTGTACTAAAGAATCTGTCAACATTTATGATAGATGGTTTTCTTTTGTTCCTTAATAAATCCCCATTATCTTCTTTTACTTCTTGTTTTTTGTTATTTTGGAAAACGTACAAAACCACGCCATATAAAACTGTAACAAATCTGTTTTATCTGATTTGTATATAAATTAAAATCATTCATTATTAGTCGTTTCATCACTAGAACTATTATTTATTTTAGCAAATATTTAGTTTAGTCTGATTTTTAAAGTTAGACTTGTTAATACAATTTTAAAAACATTTTTAGAGTTCAAAATGCTTTAAGTTATTTAATAGTGACTTTATCCATGCTTTTATTCCTTATTACAAGTTATTTTTAGACCACACTGTAATTTTATTGCAATACAATTTAGAAGCTTTAATTATTTTAAAACTCACTCTCTGCAGACTGAGTGAACAAAAAAAAAACATTTTATGTCATATTTAAATCTCAGTCTTCAAACTGAGTTGCTTAAGTTAAACTTGGTCTTTCTGGTCAAACAGGAAGTGATTAAAAAAATGTTCCCTGAAGCAGCACTCACCCTGCACACTGATGAAACTCACACACACACACACACACACACACACACACACACACA